AACTTTATTTCTCTCCCATTTGTCAGACGATCTGTAGAGATGGACAAAAAAGAGTATTAGTTACACAATCAATTAAAAAAGGGATTTAAACTAAGTAAAATAATGCACAAAAACGCAAGTAAAACACCTAAATTATAAAATGGCGATGAAATGTCAACTTTATTCATGTCATAGATAAAAGTTAAAGGCAATAGAAATAACCGTAGATGCACGATGTCAATTCATACAGTGGATAGTTAAAAGAGAACCCCATAGATACACAATAACATCGATTTATGCTGTGAACAATAGATAACTGTTAGAAGTAAAACCATAGATGCCACAGGTGGCAAATTACTATGAAAACTGAGTAACTTCAAAACAATAACCCACCTTGAGGTTTACTATACGGTGCTCGAATTTTATTCCTAAGTGCTGACAAAAGAGAAGTGCCTCTTAATAGTAGATGCTGATGAAAGGAAATAAGTGAAATAAGCCACACATCGCACCGCAATCTTCCTTTTATGCATCAGTGTAATTCGGATTGCATTTACTTTCTGGAAATTGCACCTTCACGCCCAAGGGGAGGGAAAATTAAAGGGACTCCACTTCTCCAGGTTTTGAATTCTTCTTATTTTCTGTCTCCTTGTCCATTTAATACGTTTAAATGCATCCTGTTGAAACAATATTATGTTAGCTTCATTTTAAAATATTTAAGAACCATAACGTTCACTAATTAAATAATAGACTATCAAAATCAATACTTTTACAAAACTACTACAATTCACGTGTAAAAGCTTATAGTGGTAATTATTGTCAAACAAATGGAGCACTACATTTGGAAAATCGCATCCATTTCATAAATACAACTTCATAAAATATTTAAAGATTTCTTACCCTTTCCAAGATCAAGAGAAAGAAGCGTGATTGGGATTCTGCTTCCCCGCGTTTCGTGGCCATTTGATTTACCGTCTCTCCCTGTACGTTTATTATGATTTAATGGAAACCTCTTGAAAATATTTAATATTAGTTATAGGATATCCAGTAGATTTTTTATTATTATATTATTAATGATAATTACCATTGTTAGCACCCTGTGAATTTTATGACCAGCTCATTAGAAGCATTCTAGGAAATAAAAATATGTCTCATCGTCACAAATCTCTAAGTAGTGTTTGTCCATCGAATCCAAGGATGTCATCTCAAAGCAAGTCTATATTACAGAAAAAAAAGTCGTTAAAACCTAATCTATAGAATAACAAGGTAAAAGTTAAAAATATTTAAAGGAAATTTGGAATTTTAAAAGCAGAATAATATTACTAAGAAATATTTTACATATTTTGGCTATAAAACGAAAGCAATCTTCGTGGCGTGGTCACATCGATATGAAAAATCTAGAATCATCGCCTAAACGTGTTTTCAAGATTTAAAAATTCTAACAAAACCCTAACTATTCAAACTCCAATAAACTAAGAATTTATAAAATTTACATTAGATGAGTACAGGCAAGATGCCACGACAGATTCGATATTAGAGCACGAAACCAACATTTTTTCATGACAAAATATAATGACGGAGAGGGTAATTGAAACCAATCAATCACTAAACTAAAACGTATTCCACACAATAAATTAAATGAAAATCGAATAAAGATTAGGGCTAATTACTTTCAGGCGACGTTTCCATTTATGGACAGCAAAAATGGTAACACATTCGTCTTCTCGAGGACCGATCACAATTGAATGACAAGATCGACAAGATGAAACGACAGACGAGCCGGAAGACCTATAGATGAAATTCTTTCTATACCTATGATAGATACATAATACATTTTATAGGTGCCTTCAGTTATACTAATGCAGTTTAATTAGCAAATTATTAGAAACTGATCCACCTAAATGACATCCTGTTGAAATAATTTAACGTTAGCTTTATATTATGTTTTATTATATTAAGACATCCACCAAGCAAATAATTGACTATGAAATTCAATAGATAACTACTACAGTTCAAAAGTGTGAAAAATTAGAAAGTTTTAAAATAGTATTATAAAAAAAAAAAAAACAAATGTAATAAAAGATTATGAAAATCACAAATCAATTTGTAAATATAATTTGATCAAAGAATTAATGATATCTTACCATTTCCACAAATTAATTTTTTCCACGCCCAATAGAAAGAAGCGAGTGGGGCTCTGCTTATCCACATTTCCAGCCCTTTTTACCTTCTCCATGTACATACATTTATTGTTTTAATCGAAATCTATTGGAGCAATTTAATATTATTCACCAGATTTGTTATTTTTAATTTTAATTGAATCAACTTCTATCTTTTTTATTATTTTCTATTAAAAACATTACATTCTGAAGGAATGCCAAGTACATTAACCGTAGTGCGATAGATTTCGTAATAGTTAAATTAAGGTTTAAATACAGGACAGAGTCTGTCCCGGTGGGACGTTTAATGTTATGTCTGAAATACGGGACTTCCCGGGAAATACTTAATCTTTAGAAGTTCGAATTTTAGATATCCCCTCCTCAGTATTCTTATCCGCTTTAAAATAATGTTAAACTTAAAAGATCACATCATGCTGATGAAGTGCAATTTGTATCAAAATTTTTATATGACTTTATCTTTAAAATGACGCCGATTTCGTCCTTTAATTGTTACAAACAAAATAGCTGCGAATTAAAAAATAAAACGTTAAATTTCCTCAAGAACTTTTTTAAATTTATTAAAAAGTGTCCTCTTTGTAAGTATAAAAACGGCANAGGTGCATTTAATAACGATTTAAACACATAATAATAGTAACAATAATAGGGTCCACAGGGGGTCCATAGGTGTCCACAGTGTTTCAATAGAGAAAACCGAAAACCAAACTTAAAATTTTAATTGTACATAAATGTACTTTCGATAGTGAACAGGAATATTAAAATTGTTGGTGAATTACTTTACATGTGCATTCCATAGGTAATTGTTTTTCTTTTTAATAAACAATGCTTTTAAAATAATAAAGAAACTCTTCTAAAATAAGATTAGTAATCATTAAAACAATTACCTCTTTGTTGATGCCTTTTTATTTTATCTTATAAATTAAAAGTTTGCACATACCCTTGTTGTTTCTAATTCCAGTGGATAAAGGACACTGTTCCATATTGGGATGAAATGTGGATGAGTTCTACTATCACTACCCAACTACACATGGTGTCCAGAGTGTGTTTAAAATTCCTGTTAAAACAATCAAAACAATTTTTATATACATAATTATGCAAATAAGGTAGTAGCAGAATGTTAAATAGTAACTCTGAATTTACCACACTATTTTTTGGAAATGATCAAATGGACAGTTATAATTTTAATATTACATTACTGACTTTTTAATAGTTACCATTTTAAACTGTTTGTCTTTAAGAATAAATAAAAATAGATAAACAATATGTAAATGTGTTCTACATTGACTTCTTATTAGCTCATATTGGAACTGCAAATATACATTGTTTTTAATAAACATGAAGACATACACAAATTCCACTTAAAAAGTTTTGTTCTTTTAATATTTCAGTTAGTCGGTTCTACATAACTCCTTATGAATTTTTTGTTTGAACATATATATAAAAAATTATAAATGAATATTCTCCTATTATGTGTATTATCACTTTAATTACCTATACTATCCTGCAAGAACTCCATGAAAAATGATTTGAACCAGAATATGTATAAGAAATTTGAGTGTGCTCCGATCCCAATCACCAGAGAAACATTGCTAAAAGCACAAGAAAAACAGATTAAATACCTTATTAAATGAACAGTATACGAAATAAAACAGCACAATATATTAAAAGGCAATGTTGAATGGTTCCTATCACTATCAGAATTACTGTCTATGAAACATATAAAATCATAGTATAAATCATTCTGGATCAAGAATAAAGCAAATACCAGAAACAGTTGAAAATCAGACCAATTATTCTGCTTACAGAAACAGTTAATCAAACTCAGACAATTCTAGGTTTCCATCCAATTTGCTCAAGTCCATATCAGTTAGAGCCCAATTTTCACCTTTAGAGTTCACTGTTTACTCCAGTATCTACTATAACATGGCATAGACGTTGTAATTGATAGGAAGGCGTTTCAAAATAGCACTTATTGCTAGATATACTAGAAGTTCCATTTCCTACAAAAAAATAAAAAACATCTTACTCCATGTTACAATACGGTAAAAAGTAGTACATACTTCACAAATCAAACCAAATCTAATGAAATCAAGGACCTTACGAAGAAAAAAACCCTGTAGGTATTTAGTATTGTGCAAACATACTACAAGAAACACTACGAAAACAATTACTTTCAAAAAAAACCAATATACATATTGTAATCCACAACAAGTGTTACTAAGATTTCGACAATTACATGACTTTAAGCAGAAATTTTTACAATAAAATTTTAAATTTCTTATTACGAACACGAATTCATCACACAGCCATTTGCAAATTATAAAAATCGTAGATAAAGGTTGGATAAATGTCATCAGATATCATAGATTAAATTAAGATGAAAAGAACATGGAAGCATTCGCGTTGCGCCCTCTGTAGACAAGAATCATAATTATTTCTGCGGGGGTTTTTCAAATTGAATAAAATGAAAATTGATGGAAGGCATGCATTTTAATTAAGCGTTTTGAATTTTCAGAAAGATAATTAAAATGTTTGTATAAAGAAAGACAGACGGTTCAACATAAAAAACAACTTCAGGTGTTAAATATGCATTTGTAAGGCTCATTTTGTGTTTAAGTTTAGGTTAATCCATTGTTTTTGTAATATCAGAAAAAATGAATTTAAAGATAGACGTGTACGCATAAATAATACTACTGAACGATTTCATGTACCGTCAATTGAAAAACATACGCATTTTTATATTTCAGTTTTACTAACTGGTGGAAGCGAAATAAGTATTGTTCAATTGATTTATTCTTTACATAGGGTAATGATTGATTTTAAATTAAACATAAAATTAAATACTAAGAAATATGTTTAGCAATAATCTGCTTGTATTCATTTCGGAATTAAAATAGATGATTTTGTATGTTAAATCATGTACAATGTGTTCAAGATTTAAAACACAAAGCTTATTCGTAATTAGGCAGAGATATAAACAACTTTATGCCAAACATTTTCAATTACATATTAATACTCAGATGTTGCTATTTAGCATTGTTTATTTTTTACATTAGTGAATGCTAAGTCGACATTAACATAGACTGACCATACTTAAAAAGGAAGATTACAATTATTAGTAAAATTTATGTACAACTGACTGAGATCTCGGAAAAATGGAAACGTAGTTACAAAAACAAAAAAACAAACAAAAAAACATGGTTGCAACAAAAAAGGCTGACTGACGGGCAACACGAAGACCACCGACGAACATAATCCTAATTTATTTATGTATAATTAATTAATGATAATTAAAAATAATATCACGGTGGTATCTCCGTGCTGCCTGAAATTTTTAATGCAGTTTTGAGCTTGCAGCTTCTTCGATTTATTATTTTTTTTGTAATTGAGCTGAAAAACTTTCTCAACTAATGCCTAAAACTGATGACGAGTAAAATTGGCTACAACATACATTTATGTACAAATACTTTGCAGTATTTATTACCAATATTTATACTAAAATCAGTTATTGACAGTCTCAAAATTCAATTCACATAAAATTAGTGCAAGGCAGCGAGAAAACAAAAACTAACGAAAATAATTTTTCTGTTATTCCCAGCGGTCGTCACATTTTAGCTATTTAAATTTTCATGTTCAATATAAAATTAATAATAGCACTAATTTTATGTGAACAAAAGATACATATTTCCAAAACTCCAACTTCAGCCGGAGTTTCTGAAATGCATTCGATTTAAAATAATAATTAATTAATTAATTAAAAGAGAACTATATGTACAATTACTCACAAAAATTACCTAACATGTCATAGGAATCAGTGACAAAATACACAATACGTCTAGAACGATCCTTACGTTTGTAAATACAATTGAAAATTGTAATAAATCAATCTAAAAACTACAGTTTTTTTGGTAAAACAATTGTGTAAACTTATTATTTAATTAATATACGAATTCACTTTTTTTTTAATTTTTTTTTTCGTCGAAAAGAATTCGTTATTTTTTTTAAAACGAAACTTCTGTACACCATAATAACTAATTATAAAAATTGCCTAAATTATTTGCAAATAAATTGCACACAAAAATCACACCAATTCCTCTTTCGCTTTTCTGTTTTTTTATTTCTTTTAACGATCATGTGCT